TCGCGATGGGGGAGTTCGAGCTCGAATTGGAAGGCGGCATTGCGATTCCTGTGCTGCACACCATTGGCTGTCTAGGGTGGCCATGCTGAAGCAGCCCGACCCAACAGCCGCGAGGGCGTAGAGCAGAAGGACAAGCGGGCCGCGTGCACGAACGCTGGCAAGAGCAGCCTGGGGCGGGCCAGGACTTGTAAGCGGCGGTGCCTGGGGCGGGTCAGGACTCGAGCATGGTTGTGCCTGGGGCGGGCCAGGTCTTGAATGTAGGAGTGCCTGGGGCGGGCGAGGACTTGCTCGTGACAGACTCAAAATGGCTACGGGTGATGATGTTGATAATGATGATGATGCTGATGATGATAAGGATGTTGATGATGCTGATGAGGTTGATGCTAATGATGGTGATGATGATGATGATGACGATGATGATGATGATGATGGTGATGATGAGGATGATGATGAAGATGATGATGAGGTTGATGGTGATGATGAGGATGACGATGAACATCATCATGATGCTGCTGGTGTTGCTGATGCTGTTGCTCCTGCTAATGGTGATGCTGGTGATGACGGCGACGATGGCGATGCTGCTGATGATGATGGTGATGGTGATGCTGATGCTGGTGATGACGACGCTGATGATGATGATGGTGACGATGGTGATGATGCTGATAATGATGATGATGATGATGATGCTGATGATGATGATGCTGATGATGATGACGATGCTGATGACGATGATGAGATGATGATGATGATGATGATGATGATGATGATGATGATGATGGTGTTGATGATGATGATGATGATGATGATGATGATGATGATGATGATGATGATGATGATGAGGCGGAGCAGGATGGAGCGGAGGGGCGGGAAGTAGAGGGATGGATATAGATATCAGTGGAAGGCCGACGACGAGACGTGGCGGGAGAGAGGACGAGCACGAGCACGAGCACGAGGACCAGCACGTACAAAGAGGAGGAGGAGGACGCGGAGGAGGAGGAACAGCAAGATGAGGACGCCTGCGACGATTGGGACGACGACGGCCACGGCAACGGCTGAGGGCGATCCTCCGTCGCCTCGCCATCGACCCCAGACAAGCGAAACACCACCGTCATCGGGGGGATCTCCCACATCGCCTGCGCTGCGGCCCTCCTCCTCATTCAACCTCGTCTGTTGCTGCCGTCCTCTCCGCTGTGCGTGCCCATGTCATCAACTCTTCTTGAGCACCCCCACCACATCCTCTCGCTCACTCGTGTCTGCCGTGCTGACCTCTTCTTCGCGCTCGTCATTCTGCATTCCTCCTGCCGCTTGCCTCTCAATAATCCCTGGTCCCTCCCGCCGCTCTGCTTCTCCATCCACCATCCCACCACGTCCGTTTCATCTTCCTCGTTCTCCTTGCCTGTGTCCTGTGCCCTCCTCCTCCTCCTCCCCAAGCTGTTCCTAATCCCTGGTATGATATGTTACCCCACACTGTCGCGCGGCTTCCTCTTTCTCCTCTTCATCCTCGTACTGAGCCCCTTCACATCCTTTTCTGCTCCTGCTCATCCCTGCCTGCCTGCGTACCCCTCTTTCACCATCCCATCTCCCCCCCCCCTCCCCCCCAGACCACACACACAGAACCATCTCGCGCGTTTTCAGCCTCATCCACGTTATGTCCCGCCGCTCTTCCTTCCTCCATCACCTCCGCTGGTGAGTCCTCCACCTCCCACTCTCCGCTTCCTCCGACTCCTCCGACTCCTCCTCTTCACCGCCCGAGGAGGGAGGAACGAGTTGAACAAGGTGCACGTCCAGAGGCAGAGAGAGGGAGACCGACAGGGAGGGGGGGGCGAAGAGAGAGAGAGAGAGAGAGAGAGCAGAGCGCGACATAGCAAGAAAAAAACGAGGCCACAAAGAAAGACAGAGAGCGAGAAACAGAGAGATAGAGACATTCCCTCTCTCTTTCTCGTTATCTTCCTCGCGTTCTCTCCCTCTCCATCGTGCGCTCTCTCTCTCTCTCTCTTTCTTTGTTTCTGTCTTTTTTTTTTTCTCTCTCTCTCTCTCTCTATCTCTTCCTCTCTCTCTCTCTCTCTCTCTCTCTCTCTCTCTTTGTATACGTATATGCGTATGAGAGGGATGTAACAGAGAAAAGAGACTGGGAGAGAGGAGGTTGAGAGATAGGGAGCACGAAAGAAGGCAAGACAGAGCCAGGGAGGGAGAGAACATGAGCAGGGAGCGAGGAAGCGAACACACTGATATGAACTGATGAGGAGGAGGGGGCGATATTATAAACATATAGAAAGCAATACTGGCACTGCAACTGATGATACTGTTGCTAAAACTGGCACTTGTAAGGATGATTATTTGGACACTGATATTTGAACAATACGAAAAAAAACGTAGGGAGGAAGAGTAGCCACAGAGGAGGAGGAGGAGGAAGAGGAGGAGGATAACGAGGCCAGATGCCTCCACGGGCTCGAGAGACGCAAGGGCGCAGAATCGAAAGTTCTCGATCCTCCTCTCCTAT